GAGTTTTTGCAAGAGTGAGGATGTGCTGAACTGAAGTGATTGACAAATTCAGTGATAATAAAGGACGCGCTCTTTGCTCGCTATCTATAAGTGACCCATTCAAAATAAGATCCCATGCAATGAAATCCATCGTCCCTCTCTTTATGGCACCTAAAACAATCCAACAGAGGACCAACAGAGAGGTGTCCGTGATGCATACGTTTAAAGATAGCACTCTTACTCAATCCCTTACGACCCCAGGTGACACAACTAAAGCCACCAATGCTGGTCTGCGGTCGGAATCCAGTCACAAAGATGTTAAATCCTTCAGGCAGTTGGGTCTTTGGTTTTTCAGAAATAAGAGAAGTGGAGGATGTGCGATACATAGAAGCCAAGAGGGTGGCCGTCTCTTTCTTTCTCTCTGTTTCCTACTACTATGTCCAAGAAAGTGCCATTCAGCTTCTCGGGAAACAATGTGTGGATTCAAGAGTGTTCTGGGCACTTGGGCCTGGATTCAATCTAACTGTCATGGGAGTTTTCCTGTACACTGACAATGCTGTTGGCAGTAAGCACCTCTGGGATAATTTTTACAAATCTCTGCTAGAACAAAGAGCATCATATCCATCAGTATGCCACAATTGTCTACACAGTTCATTCACACCTCGAGCAGCGTGCATTTGGTTTTCACATCACCGTGACCCTTCGATACCAGTGAAGAGGCTGCGCAGATAAACACCTCGTTCCAAAAACATTTTTTTAGAGCTATAAATCTTTGTCGTTATGTATACATTCTACGTTCTTGTTTTCTCTGATGACTAAATAGCGACAATGCCTCAGTTGCCTGTTAACAGAACTGGCACACATCCAGCCATCTATGATAAGCTGCGGATGAATTTTTTTTTTAATAATGATGTTTATACATACACATCTGTTCAGAGGGTCACAGCTAAACAACACGTACACTGAAAATTGACCCAAAACACTTGTAAACTAGTGGTGCTTAACTGGTTTTATCAAGCGGCAACTCAACAACCAAACAACTGTTTATCGTACAGAAGTAAACAAAATCAAAGACATAAATTTACTTAAATATTTATTAAAGTGTTCATTTCAGCTGGCTTGTTTGAGTGCTTGGTTTCTAAATGTCTTCTCAATGGTTTCATGCTCTTGGCAGCTAATAAATCACCACACAAATCACGCTGTGGTTGCATAAATCATGTTTATCCTTGCTGCAAGTAAACCCTTATTAATATTATCTGGACCATATTTGCTTTTACCTTGGATGCTTTTGTTCATGTCACGCAACCTGCCATGTTTACATCTGTCTATTATGATTCTCATAATAGTTCAAATATCCAGGTTTAAATTATTAATGAAAACATACAGTGGGTATCACCCCCCCTTTAAAATAATCACATTTTGTATTTTGCCCCATCCATTTTTCCTTCTATCCTGACAAGCGCTCCAGTCCCTACTGCAGAGAAACTCCCCCATCACAGGATATCACCTCCTCTGTGCTTTACTGTAGGAATGCTGTTATTTGGATGGTGAGCTGTATTGGATTTCCACCAGACACGTTTGGTGTTGAGGCCAAATAATTCAATTTTAGTCTCATCTGCCTCAGAATCTTCAAGGTGTGTTTTGGCAAAGATCAGTCTGACTGCATGTGGCCTTTCTTTAGCAGTGGCTTTTTTCTTGCAACCCTCCCATACAAGCCACATTTGTGGAGAATTTGTGATATTGCTGTCACATGCACACAATGATCACTCTTTGTCATAAATTCCTGCAGCTCCTTCAGAGCTGTAGGTCTCTTGTTCGCCTCTCTGACCAGTTTCCTCCTGACTCTTTCATCCAGTTTGGAGTGACATCCTGATCCAGGGAGGGTCTGTGTTGAACCAAATATCTTCCACTTCTTAATAATAGACTTCACTGTGCTTCTAGGCATTGATAAATCCTTTGAATTTTTTTTTGCATCCATCTCCTGACTTGAGCCTGTCCACAACTTTATCCTGGAGATCTTTTGACAGTGCCTTGCCACCCATAGTTGATTGTTTGCTTCAGTTGCACTACCAAGGACTGAAATGCTCCAGGAAAGCTCTTTTCAGAAGGTGATTAGCTACACCTGATTGAGTTTACAAGTCATTTTTAGGAGGGGGGTGATTTTCAATTTGTTTTCTGGTTTTTTTATTTATTTATTTTTTGTTGGTGTTATATCTGTCACGTGGATGTTATAAGTTGCACTGAGTAAATACAGCTGGATAAAACAAAAACTGTGTCCGTCCTCACTTCAGGCTGCAAAGCAACAAAATGTGATTATTTTAAAAAGGTTTAAAAAATATTATTTTCTATACCCACTGTACACCATCACAACATTTATTCTAAAGCAACATGTCACTGTAAGTAAGAGGAATTTACTTAAGCAACTTATAAGAATATCAGTAAAAGATATTAAAAATCAGAACGTGGAAATAACATCTCTAAAACAGTGCCAAATATTCTAATAGCTAGGGTTGAGTGATATATTAAAATAAAATTTATTGTAACAGCCAATCACTGAAGCACTGTATCATGAGCTGCAAGCGTGTAAATGAACAGTGCTGCATTTCACTCAGAAACCTTTATTTATTTGCCAGCAAACTGCCTAAATAAAAGTTAGATGGTTTGATAATGGAAATTTACACATAAATATTGTTGTAATTTTATATTTATACAATAAAATAAAATTATTTATTAAATACTTTATTTTGTATTTTATAGTGCTATACTATTATTACAATATATTTCTTATGTTGTTTAATATTTTAATATTTGTTTAACATTTGTCATATTGAATGAGTCAAAAACAGTTGGAATGAGATTTTTTTGTTTACTTCATTGATACTGAAAGAGGTGTACCCGTGTGTGAAGACTCAATCAAAGGATCAAGGGATGGTTCACACAAATAAAGAAAAGAAAAGACAGGTGCAGATGCACACCCCAATTATTCTAGATTGATTTTATTTCCCCCAAACATAGCAATTCAAATCATCGGGTGAAAATACCTGTAGTCTTATAGCAACATATATTGCAGAAAAACTAAATATTGCAATTTTAGTTGTTTCCAGTAATGTGCAGCCCTATAATCTACACAGGCTTATTCATGCCTGTAAAGATGACTGAGATGGTGAATAGATTTCTTCACAGTAAGAATGTGTGGCACTGTTACCGCTTTAGTGCTGAAATGTGCAGTGCTGGAGGATAAACAGTTGCGTGTATGAACCGACGCTGACTTTGTTAATAAAAACAATACTTGGAGGATTTCCGAGTGAATGAGAATGAGCCAAATGGGTTTTTAAACATGAGTTGAGTGAACTTAACCTCTGAAGCCCTTTGGGATTCGCAAAATCAGAAAAAAATAAACTCATTTGGATGTTGAAACATTCCCCAAGCCCATATGCCAGCTGTTTTGAGAGCATAGTAGCACTGCAAGAGAAACAGTCTCGGCCTAAACACAGAATTAAAAACAATATTGTATAAAAATTATGTATAAAACCACCAGGTACTCTTACAGAAAATCATCTTCGCTTAAACACACCAAGCCAAGAAGAATAATATTGTCCTTGGGCTGAAAGGCACATGTAACACATAGCAATCTTTATGTACTTGGAAGAGGAAGCACTAACTATACGCTAAAGCACTATTTTGTTGATGGGTCAATACAATTATGCCTTTGTGGATAGAAAAGTTACTACACCTCAACTGTAGCTTAAACATAAAATCAATGCTATACGTATTTAAGCAAGTCTGTGCATTTGATGGAGTCACAGACTATTACCCACCACTGAGCACTCAAAATAAACAATGGAATGGAAGCCATCTGAACACTGCGTGCTGGAATGATTGACAAGCGGCAGCTGGCGTCATGGTGAGCAACATATATGCGGACACTTCCTTGCATACACATAGTATTTATACACATGCATTATAAAAAATATGCACAATGTATACAAACTGTACTTTCATTGCACTGTATCTACAGTCAATTCAGCTCAAAAAGGATAATTTTATGCTGATACTTTGCTTGGTTTACATCAAATGGTTGAAACGAAGTAAAAGTGCAGACTGTATTGCAAGATCAGACCCTCTCCCATGGCACAGCAATAAACAACCAACACGGCCATTATCTAGGATGCCTGCTGTTAAACGGTCCCCACACCTGGTTCAAAAGTACCTATCCAAGTCATGTCCATCTTAAACTGATTTCACTACGCTGTCTGAAGTCACTTCCCACTCAGTTAACACAACAATGACTAGTACTGACTAGCCTAATTAACAAGGAGATGTCTGTACCATCTGGCCTGGTTCTCAGAGATGTGTAAATTCACACACACACACACACACACACACACACACACACACACACACACACACACACACACAAGCACAGGCTATAACACAAGAGTTGTCTAATGACTGAAATCTGGAGGTTATGTTAGGAAAGCAAGTTAAAATGTAGCTGCTAGGAAGCTTCGCTTTTAGTAGAAAAAGTGTGAAGGACTTAAGGCCATTGAGGCCATTTTAATTTGTTAGTCGTACGCTGTGAACCTTGTTGACTGTTCCCTGCGCTCAGGAATGGCAAGATGACGCCCTCCCAACACTCTGGTTTGCATCACGACCCGCTCAAACACAACTTGAAATCAATGACTGCCAACAGCAGCCGAAAATATAACTGCACATGTCACCACAGCAATGCCAGTCCGAGGGCACCAGTGAACAGGTTGGGGAAAGGAGACTCTTTTCACTCATTTACATTACATTGGAAATTAAATCTAGTCAACAGTGATCACGTCTCAATCCTGGCAACAATAGTATCTCTTCACGTACCTGCAGACAAGAGACTATTTTGTGGAAGGCAAGCACAAAAGGCTTAACCGCAAGATACATTCAACTGCATATCAGATGTAGCAGGAGGAGCACACTATCACAGGTGTGTAGAGTTCGAGGAGGGGTAAGCTGTGGATGAATGGGGTTAACAGACATACCTGGTGGACAGATGCAGTTATGAGGTGCATCCCGAGCCGCCCGGATCTTCGGTAGACGTGCTGCTAATTTCTGGAAATAAACAAACAGGACATTTGAAGTCAGCTGTGCAGAAATCGACCACATTGTATGTAAGGTAAAATAAAAAAGCCAGTGTAGTTGGTGTTAGTTTGTTAGTCTTTGTTTGTTATTCATGCAAACAACAAATATTGAAGTACACAAACCAATATCATAAAATATTATTATTAAATAACATCATAATATGTAACCACAAATAAATATTTTAAACATACATTAAATACATAAATATATTACATGACATTTGAAATATATTAAAAAGAAAACTCACTGAAAAGCTATTTTTGAATTGACCTAAGAAGCTTAAATATATTTGCCGCTCCGACCTTCACCAGGGGCACACCTTCTATTGTTTCTGCATAGCTTTGGAGCCGTTCGCTCTTTTAGCAGCGTCATGTCTGTGTGCAGTGAGGGCACTGACAAGTGATGCATTAGTTTAACAATGTATGTGTGCATACTAGGTCAGGATTTAAAGAACAGTTGGTGCTCTTTAAAAAATGTGACGTTAAACAGAGCTACTACTGTATGTTTAGCCAAAATGTACAAAACCGCAGCTAAAATAGACATACCCACTGTATGCATTGCATTTTCACTGGTAGACCAATCACTGACTGGCTACATTTATGACTGAATTTTAAAGTTTGTCAGGTGTCTGCAATGTGGTACTATAGGTCATTCCCTCTCCTCTAATATTGAAACACTGAAGGTAAATAATTCTGGGGCTGCTATCAGAAACATTTCTTGCCATAGTTTATATATATATATTACCCAATGATCGTTCCAGGGCTTTATTTGATTGATACTGGCAAACCCTCTTCCCAGCTGGAGAAGTCTTTACTCAAACAGCTCTCAGACACTACAAGCTATTGTAGCAGTTTTTCCACACTACTGAACTACAGATATTGTTAAACAGAAAGTGCTAATGGAGGTTAAGAAGAAAAGGAAAACCTAAAGAACGCTAAAATGAAAATATACTGTAAATGTGACAGCAGGGTTAAACAACAGACGGTTGTTCTGCAAGCACAGAAGCCGTGGAAAAATGCATTACAATTTGGAGGGAACCTGTACTGTGTGTAAACTGCTTTTCCACAGGAGCAATATCCAGGGATAATGCACACACACATTAAATGCCAGGGCTTTAACTCATGATTTTCCAGTGCTGCATTTGTCTCTTTTTTTACATCAAACCATGGGAAAGTGCATCCAAAACTCTGTTTCACTTTAATTTGAGAGCTCTCATAAACAATAATGCAGTGTCACAATGAGAAAACAATAGCCTGTGATGAAAAGTTAGCATGAAGAGTTACACTGACGGGAAGCACCTTGAACAAGATCTAAAGAAACAAATACTTAGCTTTCATTTTGAAGCACATTAAGTTACTGAAGCATTTAATTCTGGTAGGGTGTGTTCCTTTATGCTTGAATAAAGGTGTTCTTAAAGTCAACATGAAATCAACAATGACCGTATTTACTTTCTTTACACGCATCTCTGGTCTTATTGTGCACGATTAATCTGTGCACTATATTTCAAATAGAAAAAAATATATATTTTTGTAATCTTTCATCAAAAAGTAATAACTTGCACACCTCTGAAATTACTCTCCTTTTCAGCTGATGTGACGAAGAATGTTTTTCAACCATCTAGCTTTATTTTGGAATGCAACACCCACTTTTCACAATCCAGTCAAATCTACATCTTGTCCTGTCCGCATTTTTTCTCATAAAATACCTAATTAAAACTTGTGAAAAATTATTACACTCTTAAAAACAAAGCTTATTTATTGGCATCTATGGTTCCATTAAGAACTTTTAACATGCACTGAACCTTTCCATTGGACAAAAGGTGGAATAGGTTCTTTAAATGATTCAAATGTTCTTCACACTAAGAAAAAAATGATTATTTTAAGAACTGTTTGCTGAAAGGTTCTTTGGGGAACCAAAAATGGTTCTTCTAAAATTACTCTCCTTTTCAGCTGATGTGACGAAGAATGTTTTTCAACCATCTAGCTTTATTTTGGAATGCAACACCCACTTTTCACAATCCAGTCAAATCTACATCTTGTCCTGTCCGCATTTTTTCTCATAAAATACCTAATTAAAACTTGTGAAAAATGATTACACTCTTAAAAACAAAGCTTATTTATTGGCATCTATGGCTCCATTAAGAACTTTTAACATGCACTGAACCTTTCCATTGGACAAAAGGTGGAAGAGGTTCTTTAAATGATTAAAATGTTCTTCACACTAAGAAAAAATGATTCTTTTAAGAACTGTTTGCTGAAAGGTTCTTTGGGGAACCAAAAATGGTTCTTCTATGGCAGCGCTGACAAACCCTTTCTTGGACCCTTTATTTTTTATCAATGTATTAAAGTAAAATGGGTTGCGAACATGTTTCATGCTGACTTTAAGATGACGTGATGTAAATGGTGAGGTTGCGGTCATGGCATGAGACAGCTGATGTCCCAGTGCTTGCAGGGATAGGTTGGGAGGGAGGAGAAATTCTCTGCCTCCCAGCTTTAATAGTAACTCGATGCCCAGTATTTGATCTGGTTTTAACAATCTATTTTGAAAGGATGACACAACATTTTACAATTCCAATGTCCGATTACTACTAAGACCCCAGACTTTGAGCCTGCAGACCTAGCTCTATCGCTCTTTCCATTTCTTTCATTCTCTCTCTCTCTCTCTCTCTCTTTAGCTACTTTCCATCTTAACAGATCTTGATTTCACCCCTAAAGGCACGTTCTGTCATAGATTGTGAAATCAGCACCATTCTAACCTTCAACAGGCACTTCCAATGTATATGTTTCTCAGTTTAATGGAGTCATATACATGCAATTTTATGGTGACGCTGAAACATTGGTTGTCAATATGCCTATGAGAAACATCTGGCCTTGATAACAGAACACCCCTAAGATAAACACATTTCAAAGGTCCATCAGTATTAAACAAAACTGAAGCCTATTTTAGCTTTTTTTTTAATTACATTTAAGCACATTTTCCTGCAAAACTCTCATTACTGTAATGCATGTGGACACTTCACTTTTTGCAATTACCATTATTCTGAAGGACGACTCTCATTACATTCTCGTTACAATAATACTGTAATTCTTTATCCGTTTTTTGCATTACGTAAAGTATGGGTGATGAAATATGCCTAATTGTCATGTTACAATGCCTGAAAGGTGCCTATATTTCTAATAAGCAAATCAAATTCATATTTTTATGACCTGGATATGTTCTTGACAGATTTCAGCAAGATCCACCTGTAAATGACTCAACATTATGCAGATACTGAAATCACACTCAGCCTCAGATTGACTCACACTTGGCTGCCTCTACTTCAGACTGCATAGTCTCATTAACATACTGAATATTAACCTCAGTCATCCTCTGCAGACTCTTTTACTTTATGAACCACAGATAGTGAGATGGCAGCCTTTCCCCAAAACTCAACCCAAGATACTTTTAACACCTCAAATATTTTACATGCAGCTAGGTGATGAACCACCAGAGGCCATTGTGAAGGGACCACTGCCGCAGGCAATGTACTGTATATATATATATATATATTAGGGATGCACGATATATCGGCCAACATATCTAAATATATAAATATATATATATATATATATATATATATATATATATATATATATATATATATATATATATATATATATCGCTTTTCTCCACCTCACCACTTCAAGCTCAATCTTATTCTACACAGATGCCGTGCTCGGTCAGCGCTAAAGCTGGCAAGAGCCCTAACTGCTTGATTGTTGATGTAAAACAGGTGGCCATATGGTGACACAATGTGTTCAGCAGGTCTTGCATACTGCAAATAATAGTTTTGCTAAACAACAACAGTCATATCTTTCAGTAGCAGATATATCAATCACTGAACAGACTTTCTTAAAATTCAGTCAGCCAAGTGTGGATAATAAAGGGTTATCTACCGGATCACATCAATTATGTGTACTTTTATTAAGGCATCTACACTAATTGATGTGTCAAAATGGCAGCAGGAAATTTTGGCAATATGACTCTGTTATTTATAGACACCCATTCTAGAGCAATGCTAAATAGGATGTGAAAAATTTAAGCCATGTAAAAGAGTCTGATCTGACACTGACATTTGAAGAGCTACAGTACCAAGCAAACTTAATTCAATAATCAGGATTTAATAATTTATCACTTATGTGACGATTATAGGTTAACATATTAACTAATACGTTTATTTAGAGTCAGTATAGAAGTTATTTTCTCAGTTAAACATAAAACGTAGTTAGTAATTAGTTATTTCTTTATTTTTTGCGTTTTATCTCTATTAGTTTTTAATCAATTAAAAAAGGAGTAACTGAGATAAACGAGAAAAAAGAGCAATAAACGCAGTAAAAGACAATACAAACAGACAGCAAAGCAAACAAAACAATAAAATAATATAAAATAATAATTAATAAACAGAACTAAACACAAGCCCCAAAAAGTGGGTACAGCAATCAAAAAGTAATTATTTTGATCCATGTGCATGAGCGTTTGAAAGTCGGCAGAGCTCAAACTGTGCGCACTGCAAGTGCCTAAACAAAATAGGGCCAATAAACAAACTAATATACGGACGAGGAGCTTGAGAGCTTAGCTAGTCAGTTTCGATATTTTATTACACCTGAACGTAGTTCCAGAAACATCCTCATCTTCTACCTCAAACTCTCTCTGCTCATTGAACTTTCTGACCAACGCACTTCTAACCTCTCGTGGAAGACAACACTTCGACAAGATGGGACAACGTGAACTTCTCTTTCACTCTGTCCTCGCACTCACGACTCAAGCAAACAGCTTGTATAAGTATGACTTGGTGTTATTGCATCCACAGATAAATGTCTGGAGAATAAAAGTCACCGCTCACCTCCTCTAATATCTGATCCAGTCGACTCCACAGGACGGGCTCCACCTGTTCCAGAGAGATCCAACTGGAGATACGAGGATCTCTGTCCTTTTCCAAACTGAGCACCCTGGACTGCAGATCTGATGTCCTCAGGTAAAGCAACACACAAACTCCAAACGAGATCAAGCACACGCAGATTGCACAGACGTCCTTCCAGTTCGTCAAAATGCGCTTTTGGCAAGGATGCTGAACGCAGGTCCTCTCCCGACTGGAATGAGGTGATACTCGCAATTTCATGTCCTCCATGTCTGTGAGACTTATGTAGGCAATTTGATGTTTATCCAGCACTTTATCACGCTGAACGGGGGTCGTGCTCAAATAAATTGATTAAAGTTCTCCTTTCAGTCAATTAACCCGCTTTTCACGTGAAAATATCAATCTTCAAAATTACCTCAACAGAGGCATGCTGCTCATACAAGTGCATGGAGATGACTGTTGAGTGATCTCCGGCTCTAGTGGGAGTCCGTGTGCTTCAGTCGTGCCATTTGACGGGTTTGTCTGACTGCTGCGCGCTTGAGTCTCTCTCAGAATGAAACCTGACACACACTACGCGCTCTGCAGCGCTCACCACGGGACCCTTCGCTTCTCTGTCGCCGACAAGCCCCTCCTTTCGGTTTATTTAGGCTAAACGGTAGGGCGGGATTCACGGAGGAGCTGACCCCGGCTTTAATCCGGATCTGGAGAACGATATTTTTAGGTGCCTCGCTGAATCAGTGCGTAAAGTGGACATGATCACCACACAATCATTGAAGAAAGAGAAACTGTTTCTTCATCCACACATCTAGACCCAAGGTGCGAATTAAGAAGGTGTTTTCAAACAATGTTTCAGTTACCAAAATATAAAACTACAAATTAGTCAAAGAACGAGCGTGCATCAACTTCCCAATACCAAAAACTACTTGGCCACACTCCAGAGGAACTTGAATAAAGAGGAATTAATGAATTACAGTTGGAAGAAATTCAACAGGTAATGGCCTTCTGAGAAATTAAGTGGTTATTCCCCTGGTTTGTAAAGCCATTTAAATGTATGTCTGTCTGCCTATAAAACCTTCAAACTTCAAGCCTTTTGAAACTTGTTTTCAAAATTAAAGGGGTCATATGATGCGATTTCAATTTGTCCTTTCTCTTTGGAGTGTTACAAGCTCTTGGTGCATAAAGAAGATCTGTAAAGTTGCAAAGACTAAAGTCTCAAATCCAAAGAGATATTCTTTATAAAAGTTCAGAGTCAGCCACGCCTACCTAAAATAGCTCGTTCTAACACGCCCCCACATGTCTACATCACAATGTGGGAAGATTTGCATAACGCCGCCCAAATGTTCATGCAAAGAACCTTTTATTCTCGCTGCAGTATTGTTGCTGCCGCCATGTCGTGAAGACGCTGTGTTTCATTGTGAAAGCGAAACTACTATGTTTGGTCTTCCAAAAGAGGACGATATCCGCTTCGTCATGCCTAGAGCTGATCCGTGCTGGTTGCTGAGGAAATACATCAACTTCGCGCTGTGGATCGCCGGATCGGCTTTCACCGTGGACGAAGCAGAGTCCAGCCCGAGGTCGTCACATGTGGTTGCCGCAAGCCCGCCGAACGCTCCTTCGTCAAATCTGCCAGCCGCCGCTCACTCAAGCCCGCTGTGTGTTTCGTTGTGAAAGCGAAACTACTTTGTTTGGCCTTCCAAAAGAGGACACGACTAGAAATCAGTGGTTAAGTTGTATTTACAACACTGTTCCAGAACAGTTCAACCCAAATAATTTAGATTTGTGCAACACATTTTATGGAGGACTGTTTACTGATCCTGTTAGAGTAGACGGTTCTGACTCACAATCTGTAAGTACGTTTTTTATATTTAAGGAATTTGCCACTGGCGATTCAAACGCTAGTTTTGAGCAGTGTAGAGTAGCGCTTGTTGTTTGTCATTTCTCTGATCACAAATGCAGACATGGTTTTATTTTTAAACGGCGCAATGCAAGACGTAAAAAGACAGTATAAGTCATTATAATCCGTAATTATGTCCCCACTGGATGCAACAAATGTCTCGTTTATAATGGGTTTTAATGTTTTTGTCTCACCGCTCTGGCCGGACAGGGCATCACAGTATGGGGCGTAACATTTCCGTCACACGCTTGAGGTATTTGGCCATTCACAACGCACTGGATAGCTGGCCAATCAGAGCACACCTCGCTTTTCAGACCAATGAGCTTTGTAAAAATCCACGCGTTTCAGAAAGGCGGGGCATAGAGGAGAAACAATAATGTACAGTATGTGGAAAATAATGTTTTTTGAACCTTAAACGGCATAAACACATTTCATTACACCAAATACACAAAATAATATTATTTTTAGCAACATCATATGACCCCTTTAACAAAAGACTTTCAAGCCAATATGCAAAGTATATCTTGATTTTGTCTTGATACTTGGCTTTCCTTTTTTTCAAATTTCAAATAATCGTAAAGACTGTTGTTCTTAAAACTCCAAACAACTGGGCTGTTACACACTCCTGGTAAACTGCATGATTTGTCATTTTGGAAAGTCTGACAAGTCACCCATTTCACCCACGACTTGTACTAAACACTATTGAACACATACTACACTAAAATACAACCTAGAGAACAATTAAAAGATAAATATAATATAATTGCGACATTCATTCAGTAAGTCTGTAAAGTTCTGTATTAGACTTATGTATCTTTCAAAAATATAAACTTTGTGAATTGTTGACTTATATTAAAAGTCTTGCTATAAAACAGTTATGAATAGCCCTTAGAGAAAGAATGAGATATTAGATCTAATCAGTCAATCAACAATGTAAAATTGTCTATTTGTTTTGAACTAAAGGTCCTTTTTGTAGCCAGAGTACAAAGGTTCACACTGCTGTCGGTTATGTCTTATTTCCCATCCCTCCTTTTAATGAATGTCTTGGATACATGTAAGTAGCCATTTTAGCAGACATCTGTTTATCCGAAATGACTTACCATACACTTATTACAGGGACAATCCTTCTGGAACAACCTGGGGTTACACAGCAGTGATGGTTCATTGAGCTTACGGGTCTCTAACCTGCAAACTTTTGGTAAGCAGCCCAGCCTGCCTTTACCCATCACAACACCACATACATTAGATACTATAACTATAATCTGCCGGTTTATTGCCAACACAAAGATATTAAATGATACGGTTCACATAGCATAAGGTGACATAGGGAAATGAATTCATGAATATGTGTTAAGCATCTCCTTTCAAAACAAATTGTATCTTATTGACAGGCAGCTATAAATTCCCATGAATCTGGTTGATCTGTTTGAGAAACCTTATCAGCATGAGGTAAAACAAGCTAGCCTCCCCCTCGTCAATCTTTACCACCTCTGCCACTTACTCTTTGATTATTCCCTCCTTTCATCACAATCTGTGTTGAGTGAGTTGGAGAGAATAGGAGGGGCTCTTCATTTGAAAAACAAAAAAACAAATTGTCCCGCCTAATCAAAGTATGCATCACCAAAAATCTCTAAAGAAGAAAGTTTCCTTGCCAAAACAGAAAGAGAACACAAAACAGTAGTTTCTAAAACAGGAGCCAGACCCAGGCAGTACATGCACGAGGACAAAGGGACAGTTGTCCCCTGTCCCCAAAACACATGTGAGTTGGCTGTCAGGGGAATATTTGGCTCAGCTCAGCTATTGGAAAGGGCTGATAGAGTGGACTGAACAATATCTAATTCTGCTCCTGACGCAAAGACCGCCTGAGCGCAGGGATGTGAGCGTTGTCTTTCAGTCAAACTGGCAGCTCAGAGCATGTTTGTATTTTTTTGCCAGCCATATATTTACGTGTAGAGGCTTTTACGTTGGTTTCAAAATACCTCTTTTAATAGATTTTCATTAATCTGTAAATTAAAGGTCATGCCAGTCATAATTACTACTTCATTTGTTTGCTGTTTTGCTGTCTGTAGCAACTAGGCCTGCGGTTAGCTGAGCAGATGAGCTTTGGACCTCCAGAATCAAGATCGCCGACCTCAAGCAGCGGCTGCTCTAATTACATTTACAAAACCACATGGGTGGATTAGATTATAGTGCGTCTTCCACATGCCCACAGAAAGCTTTAAAAATCTAGTAGAGAATTTCCTGGCCCACATTGTGCAGCTGTGATTTTAGTCAAACTAAGAGATGTCCTTCCACTATCAACCACATCTGAAGCTCTGATGGCACCACAGAGGTTCATTACACATGAACTTGAGAGCGTCCAAGGAACTTGCCAATTGATTTTGGGAATGAAAAATTAATCTGGAAATGAGTGCAATGGACTTCCTTTTCAAAATGATCTAATATTGTTGTGCAATGTATTGCACAATTATACATACCCTGTTGAATATATGCAAGAAAGACATCAATTTTGAAGAAATACTGACTAAATGGGAACACAAACTGTCAGATACATCTGTGACAGATTGTTTAAACTTAGAAAATGTCTTTTAACAGAGCAGATCAAATTCCCAACATTGCAGAGAGTATCAGCGTGTGAGGAAACAGCCCCTGTTATTCGTTTTCACTCGAGAACATCCCAGCACATTCTCAAAGTAGAGCCATTTCATCTGGTTCACCATAATGCAAGGGCATCTGGACACAATTTGAACATGACCATTTTCTAGTCAACTACTTAGTAATCATGCAGTGAGTTCAGTGTCCTTGTATGGCCACTGACAACGAATGATCTTTAAATATGCATGTGTGTTCTCACTCTAAATTTAGTGGATTCTCAGAAGTTTGAGAGTAGTAGAATAGAATAGAAAAGAATAGTCTAGCTATCTATCTATCTATCTATCTATATGTCTATCTGTCTCTATTTGGATATTTGTGCATGGAAACAGCAACCCTTTTGTTTTCCTCGCTATCTTGATAGGACTTTATTGTCTGTGAAAGCTGTAGAAGTACTTCTGAGGATGATGCAAGGTATTACAAGTGAATTTCTTTTCTCAGCCGTGTTCATTTATGATCCATAATTTCTCTGGCACTGTAAAGAAGAATGGTTTAGTGTCTTGCATTCAGCTCGGTCCTGCAGCATTTCTTTAATACTGTGAAATGAAATTAATGCAAGCAATGAGAATGAAACACTGGATCAACCTCATTGAGCAGCCAAGCAACTGCCTAGCAGGCATCACTTTAAATCTCTCATCATACTGTCCAATACTAACTAAACAAGGCTTATAACCTTCTATCTTCAAAGCTGCTGAAGTTCCATACTGCTGTAATCTTCTAGTCCAGGTTTTGTCCAGCCAAAATGTAAAAAAAAACTGTATATGTCTTGTACAGTATTTTTTAAGAGTGTCATTATAAGCAATTACTTTGTTTTTGGAGAGTACAACACATTATCCAGCACTAATGATCTGTTGAGTTAACATTTTATGTCTATACTTCATTACTGTATACAATAAATGTAGCTAAGGTACATACATCTAAAGGTAGACATGTGTTTTCTAGATTTCTTGTATGTACTGCAATTATTTGCTGCAACATCGCATTTCTGAAGGAGACAAGAGAAATATTGGGTAACACTTTAGAATAATGGTCCGTTGTTAACAAGT